CCACTCCTACGTAACGTCATTTCAAAAGCGTAATTCGAGTCAAAGAAAAGAGAAAATAAAACCAAATTACTGTAGGTGGCGATATATGCTCATGGCACCAGTCGGCTATTAGATCGAAGAAGAAGAACGTCATAACAACAGTTCAAACCAACATGGTTTAAACGATGGATCTGCGACACAGGTACCATGGTTTTGGGAAACAGTCGTGACTAGCTAGTTCGTTTCCACAACGATGCATCGTACTATGGTGGTTAATCAGCGAGTTACGTAGTTCTACGGGAAATGCACCCCTTCAAGTGGCGATCACACTAGACTTTGAACATGCAAAATTTTTTCGGACGCCGCTGCGAATATGGGCAGGAGCAGGATATGACATCACGCGCCAAAGTTTCCCCTCAGTTATCTCAACATGGATTCCGATGTGCTTGCACTGTGTCTTTTGCGACGGCGTCGAAAGCGTCTGGAAAGAAGGCTGTGGGTTCACCCTATTCTACGGACTCGGAATGAGCGGGGAGAGTTCCATTCTTTAATTCAGGAGCTTCGGCTTAATGAGGATCGCCACAAGGAGTACTTTCGGCTCTGTCATATTTTATTACCATTTTTAAAACTATAGTGAATAAACTGTATTAATGAATGAAATGTTCAAGGTGTCTGAATAAATTTTGGTTTGGCTGTACATATATATTACAGCTTTAAGTGCTGTAGGTTTTTCCCTTTAAATAGGTCATTTTATAAGTTCTTGAGGTGTGCAAAATAAATTTTAAAATGATTCTGAAAATATAAAATAACAAACAACATTAAGTAATTTAATAATAATACACGTGTATAGTAATTTTATTGTACTCTCTCTCTATATATATATATCGTCTGTTCCTGTTTCCATTGACACCGCAAACAATGCAGCTTCTTTTTTTATTTGATTTTTATAATCTTTTAAAGATGTATTATATAAAATAGGATGCTGCGCTATGGCTAAAATTAGCGCTTCCTCCATTTTTTAATTTCTGTAGAGAGGTCACGCAGTGACGTATCGATCTTCTACTGGTCACACGTCTTCACGTGATGCGAATTCGCAGGTCAGAGTTCACCAAACGTGAACTTTGGAAAGCAGCGAAATGCAAAATTTTTCGCATGAGTTTGCGTTTCCGGTCTTATGCATTCGCATGCGTATGAATGGAAGTCAATGGAACGAAAAGTGCAGTGTGACCGCCCCTTGAGTGGTGTTGGAGCACTCTGGTGGTGAGTGGAAGGAACGACAAAGAGCGGATTTATAACGTTCTCTTAACCCATTCACACTATGCTTAAAGGGGTCATATGATGCAATTTCAAGTTTTCCTTTCTCTTTGGAGTGTTACAAGCTGAGCTGTGATAAATCAATGATCTGTTTGAATTTTTGTATTTTATCAGTTTTTGGTCCATTGATGATAAAGAAACAAGGATGTCTGCCGTAAAATTCCTTCTGAATCTCTGTGTTGCTGCAGTCGAAAATGGCACAAATACAGGAACAAGATTCCCGACTCTGCTGTCATCTGTGTGCAGTTATCAGATCTTCCCATTTCCTGAGTGGGATGATGATTATAATGCTGATGATCAGAGTGATTTCTTGCTGGATCTTTGCTCACATGTGAAGAACTATGAGACTCAAACAGGCAGGAGTTTTCTTCCAGCATTACAGTCAGTTTTCCAGTTACCTGATGTCTGGATCATAGATCTCTCCCAGAGAAAGAGCTCCGTCCTCCTGGAAGTGCTGAAACTCCAAACAGAGAAGAAACCAGTAGAGCTGAGAGAATGTTCAGAGGAAGAGAGTGAAATGATGAGTTTCCTTCAGTGTCTGCCATACATCTCACAGCTGAGGTGAGAAGATCTACAGCAACTTACAGTTGTAATTGTGTAATAATGTTTTTGTTTTTTTTATCATTTTGAATATGTTTATAGGTTTCAGTCAAAGTGCATAGCCCAATGCATGGACATGGGCAACACATTTCTGTCAGGTCATTGCATTGCTAGCTGTGCGTAGAAGTGTTCACGCTCTCCGTGGGTGTAAACATGCAAATAGTGGTGTATTTGTAAATGGCAATAAAGTGGTGAGAAACTTTAGTATTTTATTTATTTGTTTATTTATTTGGTGAGAAATGGGTTATTGCGCCTCAGACATCTCAGAATCACATCTATTCTTCATTCAGAATCTAAACTTTGTGTGTGCATTTAATAATTTGGAGATTCCACAAGCAAGTGCTATCAAAGTACATATCTTCATAAATGTGTCCCTAAATATTACAATTATTAAAATGTTGCTGTTGTGTGTCAGCAGAACAATATGATTAATTTAATGAAGCCTAGATCTAAGTAGAGTACCAAATTTTTTCATGTGTATGCTGTATACACAACTTTGTCTGCTTGGTCTGCTTTCATTTCTGAGGAAGCCGAATTTCTCTCTGGAGCTCTGGGTGAAGAGCTGGATCTCAGTCAGACTCAGCTGGACCCGCAGGTCTGTAGAGGTCTGGAGCTGATTCTGGAAAATTCTGAAGGACTGACAGAACTGGATCTGAGTCAGTGCCGTCTCACCGATGACAGTCTGGATCTGCTGCTCCCAAACCTCCACAAAGCACAAAACATTGAGTGAGCGACTGAGAAACAAACACAAAGTGTACATTTCTCAAGTATGATGTAATCATTGTTATATTTCTGATTTGTTTGTTTAATCTCAGTTTTAGTGGCAATAGCATCACTGAAACTGGGGCTCAGAAAATCTACAGTATCGTCACTCACAACAGCAACATAAAGACAGTAAGGTGTGTGTCTGAGTGTCACAATGTTGTCCAAAGTTATTTGAACTACTATTGAAATTAGTATTTATCTGCAATAACCATTTATCTACAAAACTGATTTCAAGCATTTAAGTAAAAGCTTTAATATCAAAAGTTTTTAGTCATGAAAAACGAATTTGGTCATGCGAGTGCACACTTTTGTGTGGTAGTTCATATTGTTGTGCAACAGAGTGAAAATCATTAAAGGGGTCCTATTATGCTCTTTTACAAAGTCTTGATTGCCCTTTATATTATTTGTGTCATGCAGTCATGATAGTTCAGAATTTTTCATTTTGTTTTTATATACATTTTTAATTTGCCTTTTCAATTTAGTATTTGTTAGTTCTTATTCTATATTTGTTTTCTTGTTTTTTTCACTGGAATCATTTAAATTATTGTTTTGTAAAAAAGTTTAAGTTTCTAAGTACAGTTTAGTGCTATCATGTAATCTGAATAAACTGGGAGTCTTTTATTTTTTTAATTGCGTACTAAAACACCTAAAAACAAAAATTACATGTAAAACTACTGGCATAAATCCTTATGAATGCTGAAAAATGCTTTTGATAGCCTATATTTCAAGAAAAATACTGCAGCTTTGACATCTTGCTGTTTTAATATCAACATCATTCCAGTAGAGGACAGCAATGATTTATTGATAACGAGCACAGAAAATCCACAGCGAAGATGACAAGGAGGAGATAGACATGAAAACAACCAAAATCAATAGCAAGTGCATTTATACTGTTGATTAGCTGATCTTCTCCTCTTCATCCTTAAGAAGAGAAAGATCATTTGCAAACAGGAAGTGTTTCACTGTCTGAACTCACACGTTATATAAGAGTCATTATTCTCAGGAAATCACACTTACCTCATTCCTGTGACTGAAATGTATGACTAGTTTTGCTTTTGTTTTTATACCTACCTGTTACTGTATTAAATAAAATCTGCTCCTTTGCTTATTCATGTGAAGTCCAACATGCATTTATTTGAAAACTTGAAACATAATGTTTTGCTTTTCCTAAAAGTTCAGTCATTTTCGATGATTGTTACGGGGCTGACAAGACTTGAGACGTGCGGATCCATGTGCAAGCTATTTATTAGCAGAAGACAGAGACGTGGTCATAGAACAGGCATGGGTCAGATAATGGCAGACAGGTATATGGCGGGCAAGACACAAGAAGAAAGCTAAGGCTAGCGGAGGCCAACGATCGGCAAACAGAATCAAAGGGGCAAGGATAAGTCCAGG